CCCTGTCTACGTCTTTTCTAAAGAAGACGTTTTTACCGATTACGGTTGGGGTTTGTCTAACTGGTTCGAAAATATGTATAAGCTTTTTTTCTGAAAGGGGGGGTCGAGCAAATTTGAGATTCCCACGTTTTTTGTAAAAATTAGAGATATCACTAAAAAGATTTAAGGAAAAACAAAACTAAATGTAACCAATTTTAGGAAACCTTGTGAGAACATATGCAATCATAAAGAAAGTACTTAACATCCCTTAGACTTAAATAATGAGTGTAAATCATATCCTTTGTAATTTATAAATTCACCTTTGAGGACTAGGGTTCCTTTTGCTTAAATTTGAATTTAAGAAATCGTTAGAATTGTAATATTTTAGGTAGCTAAATAAAAGTGGTCAAAATTACTAATTTTTGAAATAAACATTATTGTTTAATTATAATCTTGAAAATTATACTAGAATATCTTTATAACGATAATCTGAAGATAAGATTTACCATCCTGTCTTAACATCCCATAAACAACCGATATAACTGCATATGAATGACCAATTAATTTGGCTTTTAATATCCTGTCTTAATATCCTATAAAGGGATAGAGATTTGTATTCCGGCCCTAGCGAGCTTAGGAAACCATCCATGTTTTGATGGTACTGGCTAGGAAAATCTAGCATGTTCCGGCCGTTCTGACTTGGAAATTTAGCCATAATAATGTGGTAGGTGGTACCACACCGATATGGTGAATTTGAAAATTACACAAATCTAAAGGAAAAAGGAAATACCATATGAAAAACTAACCTTTCAAATGATGCTTTTTATATTTCTAGCTGAGCTTGAGAGGTTACCTTTTTTTTGGTCTTGCTTCCTTAATAACATTTATCCCCATTTACAGCGTATTGTTTTGGCTAGCCCAGTAAATTTACAGTAGCTTAATATAATGGAACTTAAGAACTGGCGGATCGTTCAAATAATGAAATATGGGGAATTTTCAAAATTGAAAAATCAAATATTTAAAAATTAAGAATAATATATTTGTGATAATTTAGATTGAATCTTATTATTAGTTGAAAAGAAGGAGTTTAATTAGTTTCAGTAACATTATTTTAGAATCATGCTTGGTGTTAAAAAAAAATATTAAATCTAACTACCTCTATTATGTAAATTTAATATAGCTTTTTTGGATAAACCAACCTCAAACACCAAAGCATTGGGGTTCAAAACTCTGAATTTTCAATTATTCAAAATTTACTGATTTTGTATCGGGGTTCATAGGGGTTTGGGGTTGGTTTTAGACCCCTCCTATTTATTACCTTTTCTTACATATTTCCCTCACTTATTATTTATTTTAAAATTTTACACATTTTTATATTTTACAATATATATTTATGGTAGAATATTTAGGAGATTATTTCCCATCAAGCCCGATTATCAAATTATCATTACACTTAATCCACCTAAAATTGTATCCCCTTCTATTTCCATTTAAAAAGGAAGGCTGAGAATGTTAGATGGGTTCATTCAAATTTGTATATTCACTCTTTGATGTGAATGAATACAACTTTACACACATGTTGAGTTGTCACTTTATTCTTCCTAAGTTACATTTTTTGTTGGTATAATTTCAAAATAAAGTAATAGAAATTCAATATTAATATTAAACAGCTTATGAATTGCTCTATACATCATCAAAATCCTCTATAATTTATATGTGTTGCCCCGCATAAGTGCTAATGCTCAAGGAAATTGTGTGCTGAATGCTAATTTTAACACGAAGTTGACTTAAAACATACAATTCCAATTAACATATTTAAAGAAATGGCTTTGAAGAAATTTGAAGAAACTTAAACATTTGATTTTACATCATAAAGAAAGGATTTTGAATCAATGTTATTATAAACTCAAACTGCATTATAATAAATTTGGGATGAATTATCAAAATCAATTTCACAAATATATGATCTGTTAGAAATGGAAGATGAATCGTATTTGAGATTCTTTAATCACAATCTCAATCCAATAGAATTATCAAATACTGACTTAGAACAATTCGTCTAAATTACAATAGGAAAGACTTTAAATGAATGGAATAATCAAAAAGATTCATATTTGAATAAGTTGAATACCAAAGAGGTTTAATTGGAATAAGAAGTTAAATCCTTTTGTGTAAAAATAAATAAGGAAATGGAGGATATAATTTATGAAGTAATATTTGGTTATCAGAGAGATGAGAACTTATATGAGTTATTAGCTAAGACATAAGATATTGAAGAATAATTCTTTAAAGTGGTTCTTGAGATGTTAAGAGAGGAGAAAGATATTGATTGCCTAACATTTCTTTCAAAATCTTGGAAAAATTAGAAGTAAAATTGATCAAACTTTAGAATGATCTCTAATATTCTG